AGGATTTTAATGGCAGCCCATCTAAAAATATCTATCTTAGGTATAGAAAGATAACAGGAAGTGGTTAAAAAAAATGGTCTGTATCTCTAGAAGGAGAAACATATGGCAACTCCATTTTATCGTTTTATCTTCCTTCCTTACCCAGCTAATGTTACGTATTACATTAAACAGGAAAAACTGTTGAGTCCATTATCTAAAGTAACAATTTTAGAAATGTTCCTTTAAGTCCCATTTGCCAGTCCTCAGCAATCATCGTGGCTCAGAATCACTTAGCTCGTACTTTTACCTGTTTTGGTATAGAGTTGGCTGGCTAGGAAATGTTTCTTAAACTGATCTTAACCATAATCAGCTTCAAACTGTAAATTCCTCCTTTTGAAACCTCACTGCGCTTGCTACATACTTCTGTATATGATCATGCTGGCAGCTTTACTCTTCCATCTTTTGAGTTTTCCCTAAGCCCATCCTTGGGACTTGTGGAAGAGGCATGGTGAGTCCTAGTGGAAACAACAGTTACAGGGAAAAGACTGTACCTTGCTGTAAAAAAAAAAATAGAAGGAATAAAAGGAACTATTATAAATACAATTCAACATGTGATGTTTAACAAATGAATTAGTTCTTCATCTAACAGGGCTAAATTACCCCCAAATAGTAACATCACAGACAGCTATCAAGACCTGTACCGCCAACCCACATGTACAAAAATATTTATAGCAGCTCTTTTTTGTGGTGGCCAAGAATTGGAAATTGAGGGGATGTCCATCAATTGGGGAATGGTTGAACAAGTTGTGGTATATGAATGTAATGGAATACTACTGTGCTATAAGCAATGATGAGCAGGTGGACTTCAGAAAAACGTGTTAAGACTTGTACAGGCTGATGCTGAGTGAAGTGAGCAGAACCAAGAGAACGTCGTACACAGTAACAGCCACGTTGTGTGAAGACTAACGTTGATAGACTTAGCCCTTCTCAGCAATGCAAGGATCTAAGGCACCTCCAAAGGCCTCATGATGGAAAATACTATCCACATCCAAAGAAAGAACTATGGAATTTGAATGCAGATCTAAGCATATTATTTGCTATTTTTTTCTTCTGTTTTGTTTTGTTTCCTCTTTCTGGTGGTTCCTCCTATTGGTTCTAATTCTTCTTTACAACATCACTAATGTGAAAATATGTTTAAGAGTAATATATACGTATAGCCTATATCAGATTGTGCGCTGTCTTGGGGAGGGAGGGGGAGAAAAATTTAAAACTCAAAAGCTTATGGAAGTGACTGTTGATAAATCAAAATAAATTAATAAAAAAAAGAGGCACACACACACACAAAAACTTGTACTGCCACTTATTGAGGCCCCATTTAGGGAGAAAATACTAGGATAAATGAAAAGTATAACAATAATTATCATTGACTTTTCTTTAGCCTGTTACCCCTAGATTTCATAGTGGGTTTTTTTTTTTTGCTTTTTGGTGAGGCAATTGGGGTTAAGTGACTTACTTAAGGTCACACAGCTAGTAAGTGTCAAATGTCTGAGACTGGATTTGAACTCAGTTCCTCCAAACTTCCAAGGCCAGAGCTCTATCCACTGAGCCATCTAGCTGCCCCGATTTCACAGTTCATTAAAAACTTATTCTCTTAGGGATTATGGTCCTATAGCTGAAGCAATGCTCCCAAAGCAAGGAGGAAAGGGAAACAGTAGTAATCACACCACATTAGCTCTAGTAACCAGAAGCAATTAATGTCTGGGGTTAGTCTTCTAGAAAAGGCAGTATCATCTGTACATTTGTCCAGCACTAAGGAAACAGAGAACGGTGCACACCCACACCCACACACCCCTATGGTTTGTCGGCAGTTTATCTTATGTCATGCACCAGTGGTATATAGGGCATTGCGCTTACTCCTCAAGCCTATGGAGCTGCAGTATTCAAGTCCTGTTTCCCCTCTTCATTGTGCCTTCATTTTATATTTACTAGGAAACTAATTTAAGCTATTCCTTGAAAAGCCTTTAACAGATTGATGTTCCTGAGATAGAGGCAACATGATGTCCAGCTTGTAAAGTATGGAGAAATCTTAGAATAACACGGGGGGAAAAAAGAACCATTTTTATATTAAAAAATGAAACATACAAGTATTTTGATATATATACATATACACACATAGTTCTTAGCACATAAATGCTTGCTAACTAATATTTAGTTTTTTAGAAGAAAAATACTGTAAAAATTAACCTTTTCTCACAGAACCCCTGACCCATCATAAAGAACATTAGGTTTCTAAATACCACCATTTGGGAATTGCTGCAGGGCAAGAATGTCAAGGGAAATAATGAAAAAAAAATCAGGAAGAAAGGATGTTTATTAATACTGGATGTAATACTATAATGCAGAAATCAGCAGAACAACTTGATACAGGTTAAGAATTTGAGGTCACCAGTGGAATGTATTAAATATACAACATACAAAAGAAAACAAAGCTAGTATTCAATAAACTCAAAGACTTCAGCTACTGGGTTAAAGACTCACTATCTGACAAAAATTGCTTAGAAAACTGGAAAGCAGTTTGGCAGATACTAGGTTTAGAAGAAAAGCTCATATTATGTACTGAGGTAAGTTTCAAATAGATATATGACAAGTATCATAAAGGTCATTTCCCAGTTGATAAAGTGTCAATGGATTTGAACTTTTACTTTTCAAAGGAAGAAATACAAGCCATCAATAGCCATATGGAAAAAATACTCCAAATAACTAATAATCAGAGAAATGGAAAAACTAAAGCAAACTCTGAGGTTCCATGAAACAGATTGGCAAAGTTGATGAAAAAAGAAAATTACAAATGTTGGAGGGTTTGTGGAAAAAGGCACATAAATATACTATTCGTGGACCTCTGAACTGGTCCAGTCATTTTGGAAAGCAATTTGGAACTACACTCAAAAAATTACTAAACTGTACATTCCTTGACTCAGATATCCACTACTAGGCAATATCCCAAAGACATCAAAGAAATAGGAAAAGGACTCATGCTTACAAAAATATGTATGGGGGGCACCTTAGGTGGCGCAGCAGATAGAGCACCGGCCATGAAGTCGGGAGGACCTGAGTTCAAAGCCGGCCTCAGACCAGACACTGGATACTTACTAGCTGTGGGACCCCGGGCAAGTCACTTAACCACAATTGCCTAAAAATAAAAAAAATAATATGTATGGCACCTTTTTCATTAGTGACAAAGAACTGCAAACTGAAGGGGTGATCAACAATTGGAGAGCAACTGAACGAGTTATGGTACATGAATGTAATGAAATACTATTATGTCATAAAAATGAGGAAAAGGGATAGTTTCAGGAAAATCTGGGAAGACTTGCATAAACTGATAGAAGCTGAAGTGAGCAGAACTAGAACAATTTATACAATAAATGCAATGCAATGATCAACTACAATTTTAGAGAGCAGGGGTGATGATGATGTATGCTACCCATTTCCTGAAAGAGAGGTGATGGACTCAATATGTAAAAGGAGAAATATTTTCGGACATGCCCAATGTGGGAATTTGTTTTGTTTGACTGTATTTGAAACAAGGATTTTGTTTTTCTTCTTCTTTTTTTTTTTCCAATGGTGGGGGGCAGAGTTGAGAGGACAGAAAAGATTTATTTAAACTGAAACTATTTCCAAAATTAAAATTTTGTAAAAGAACACCATTCAAGAAACATTGCCCCAGAGATACCACCATACTTATATGTGGAGTTTTACAGTTTTCAAAACAGTGGGAATCTATTATCTCCTTTGATCCTTAGAAATACCCTGGGGGATAGACAGGGCAAGCCAGCATTATCCCCATTTTAAAGACAGGTAACTGAAGCTCTGAGAGAAGAGACTAAAGTTAAATGACTAATAAATAGTAGAGCCAGGATCAAAATTCAGGTCTTCTGCCTTTTAATTCAGTGCTAGGAAGGGAGGTGGTGCCAACCTTCTAAAGTCCAGAGATATGTTTAAACTATTTTGTATGACATATACATTTACTCAGCAATGTGTTCCCTGAATGAAAAGAGAAATAGGCATCATCTTAGTTTTTACATCAAATTCTAAGGCTTTTTAATTGAAGTAAGGGATATATCAGCTATGTCCTCCACTTTGCACACTTTCTGTATGTCCAGGGGTGGGAACCTGTGGCCTTGAGGCCACATATGGCCATCTAGATCCTCAAGTGAGGCCCTTTGACTGAATCTAAACTTCACAAAACAAAGCCCCTAAATAAAAGAATTTGTTTGGTAAAACTTGGACTCAGTCAAAAGGCCGCACCCAAGGACCTAGAGGGCCACATGTGGTCTTGAGGATGCAGATTCCCCACCCCAAATTCCAACCTTTCTCTGTGAATCCCCAAAAAGGTACCAGTTCTGGAATCCTGCTAATTTTCTCCCAGTTTCAGAAATTATTCTTTAATACAAAGGAATGATGAGAAAATTAATTTAACATGACATTCTGCTTGGAATAGAATGGGAAACATAAATAGCTAAGAGTTGCTTAGGATAATGTTATTTATAAAACACTTTGAAATATTAAAATGAAAGTACCTAACAACAATAAAACACCCACCAAATAGTCACAGAGTAAGGCAGAGGCAAAGTTCAGGATATTGTGCAGTACCTGTCTTCTCCCCATTCTATTCGGTACAACCAACAATAACTTCTTTTAGGATTGTATTGGAACAAAGGGGTTCTAACTCCCACAATTTTCTTTCTAACTATAGACTCTGGGAAAAGATCACTAACAAACAGGTTTTCTAAATATAGGCAAACTGAGCCTTAACAACCAAGTTGCAGGATGATCTTCAAAAGCCCTTACAAAATGATGGCTATGAAAGGTGGAAAAAAGTTGGAAATGGTGAGAAAGGAAAGAAAGAAAGAAAAAAAGAGATTTAGTGAGGGAACTCAATTCACAAGGTCTCAAATGTCCAGGTTAGTATAGGCAGGGAGGACCACAGAGAGAAGCTGGTCCCCTCAGCAATACTGTACCTAGCAGCTGGCTGTGTTCTCCTGTGATGGAGTTCTGACTTGGGTCTGAAAAACAAACAATCAAAAAGAAAAGGAAAAATGAATGACAAAAAGAAAACAAGGAAATGAGCAAATGTTAAAAATCTTCCCCAAAATACATTAATGAAATAAAAGTAAAACAAAGTCATGAAAAGTCTGAATGTAATGACTGTTTCTTAGTTAAAAAGAAAAAAAAATAAGTTGCAATTAAAAATAAATGACTAGACCATTCCTCTAGAGGTTGGAGGATATGAAAAAAGAGCTTTCCCAAGAAAAATTTCAAATCACAAACGAACATATGAGAACATGCTTCAGAAGTGCATATTTAAAAATTCCATTGTTTCACTTCACACCTTGCAAAATGGCAGATGGCAAAACCCAGCAATATTCAATGCTTTATTCCCAAATTTTTTTTATTAAATTAACAAACATTATCAAACATGAACATTTACACACACACACACACACACACACCAGAAAAAGATGGTTGAATATGAAAACATGAATCTCTATTGTTTATTAAAAATCTGTATCACTAACCTCCTATTCCCCCAACTCTTCCCCTATAAAATAAAAGCCTTATTTTGTAACAAATATAGTAAAACAAGACAAATGTACGAATTGGTTGTGTCTGAAAAGGTATGTTTCATTCTGTACCTATACTCCATTAACTTTCTGCCCAGAGATGGGATGCTTGCTTCATTATCATGTCTTCTGGGGGCAGCTAGGTGGTGCAGTGGATAGAACACCAGCCTTGGAATCAGGAGGACCTGAGCTCAAATTCGGCCTCAGACATATAACAGTCATTAGCTGTGTGTGACTCTGGACAAGTCACTTAACCCCAATTGCCTCACATAAAAAACAAAACAAAACATTATCATGTCTTCTGAAGTCATGATTGGTCACTGCACAAATTGTTCTCCTGGTTTTGTTTACTTTATTCTGCATCAGTTCATATAAGTCTTCCCATGTTTCTCTAAATCCTACCCCTTGGTCATTCTTGCAGTGAAATAATAGTCTATCAGTGCATCATAGTTTATTCAGCCATTCCTTAGTAGATAGGTACCCACTTTGTTTTGAGATTTTTTTTTTAGCACCACAAAAACCTGCTATAAATATTTTTCTTCCTTTTGTCTTTCTTCTCTTCGGAGCATAGGCCTACTAATTGGTTCCTGGGTCAAAGGGAATACACAGACTAATGGCTTTTGTATGCAGTTCTAAACAGTTTTCCAGAATGGCTGCTCCTAATATTTACAGTTACACCAACAGTGTATTAGTGTGCCTTCACTCTCACTGGCACTCCAATAATTGCCATTCCTCTTTTAGTCATCTTTGACAATCTGATGGGTATGAAATGAAACTTTAGAATCACTTTAATTTGCATTTCTATTGCTATTAGTGATTTAGAGCATTTTTAATATAATTGTTCATATTTTGCATTTCTTTTCTTTTTATTTTATTTTATTAGGCAATTGGGGTTAAGTGACTCGCCCAGGGTCACACAGCTAGTAAGGGTCAAGTGTTTGGTCTGAGGCTGCATTTGAACTCAGGTGATACTGACTTCAGGGCTGGTGCTCTATCCACTACGCCACCTAGCTGCCCCCTGCATTTCTCTTCTTAAGAAGTCCTTTGATCTATTAAGGAAGGGCTTTTGCTTATACATCTGTAGCAACTGGGAGCAGTCAGTGTTGCAGGGGCATTAGGAAGACAGACACACTAACAGAATGTTTTTAGCCCTGTAATTGGTCTGACTGTTGTGGTTATCTATTTGGAATCATGCAAGAAAAGTGACTAAACTGTCTGTATACTCTGACCCCCCAAATCTCACTACTGGGCATTCACCCCTAGTGAGTTAAAGGTAGAAACAAAGGTCAATAGGCACCAACATATTCATAACAGCATTCTTTGTGATGGCAAAGGATTAGAAATAAAGTGGGCACCAAAAGACAGTGCAGAAAAATCTATGGCATGAGAAAGTACCAACGAAATGTTACTGTTCCACAGGAAGTGACAAATAGGAAAGAGTTCAGAGAAACATGGGAAGACTTGTGTGAACTGTTGCGAAGTAAACTAAGCAGTACCAAAAGAACACACAGTAGGACTATAACAACACAAATGAAAAGATCACTAACAGGAAACAAAATCGGACTCATTTTTGAGATTTTTGAAAAAGGCAATTTTATCTGCATGACATATCACTCTCACTTCTAAATAGATCTGTTCTAATTAAAGAGGCACTCTTTGCTAAAAAGAAAAAAAGACAAAAAAGAGACCTAAAAAAATTTTCAGAAAAACCGATCAATTTATTACCGGTGTCTACCACTATATTGACTGTTTGACACCTTTGTTCCTCAGGGATACATTTTCTCCGCTCTTTTCCAGAGCCAAACCGGGATGATGCTTATAATTACACAGCACTCAGTTTTGGCTTTTTTGCTCTTTCCAATTTACATTGCTATAGTCATTGCGTAGGCTGTTTAGTTCATTTGGAATGTTCTTCCGTGCTTTTCTGAATTCTTTTTATTTGTCATTTCTTATGACATAGTAATATGCAATTACATTCATATGAGAAGATACTTCCTTCTGCCTCTTTGCAGAGGTCAGATTTACAAGTATGGAACAATACCTATAATGTCAATTTTTTTAAGGTGTTTATCAGTTTTAATGAATTTTTCTTCTTTTAAAAAAATTCTTTGTTTTAAGGGAAGTCTTTTTGGGAGAGAGGAAGGGAAGAAATATGGGGAAAATCTATGTGATGTAAAAATAAAAGACATCAATAAAACTATTTAAAATAAAATAAAATGACAATTAGAAAATGGGTGATGATAATGTCTAATAACTGCCATTTTTATAACACTTGAAAGTTACAAAGCACTTTCCTTACATTTCTGTGAGGTAGGCAATGCAAGGATTATTCCCATTTTACAGATGAGAAAACTGAAGTACAAAGAGGTTGACTGATTCATCCATGGGCACAAAGCCAATTAATATATGAGCCAGGATTCCAGCCCAGGCTTACTGACGCCAAGTCTCGTATTCTTCGAACCACACCATGCTGCCTTTGAAAGTAATACAGTGATGGCAATAAACCAAGGTCCTAATGCGACAGGTATTAAAATCACAATCAAAGCAATTCACCAGTCACTTCTTTGGCAGTCTTAATTAATTTAAAGTTACAATATTAAAGTTAACCAGTCAGACTTGTACTTTCTCAAAGATCACAACTACTGAGATACCAGCTGGGGAGGGACACTACCTACCCAGATATACCTGGGAGCTAACCCCTATGCTATTTTGAGAAAGCTCAACAATACTTTTCATAGGTACCTGGATTATTATAAATTAAAATAAACACTCAAAAAAAGTGATTGGGGGAAAGAAACACCATACTTAATCAGAACCTATCAGCAAAAAGAGTTATCTGAGATATTTTATACTTCTTCTAAGACTAAATGGTGCAAATTACAAATCCAGAAGTGTGTATAATAATGTTCACCAAAAGCCCCACAGGACTCTGGCACCCCTTGCTACTTCCTAAGCTTATTTGCTATTTTGGGTTATTAATTATCTAAGTCTTGTCTTGAGACCCTATCAATGTCATTTCTATGCCAGACTATACAAAGGGCACATGAATCAAAGAGTAAAATGGCATATAATTTAATACAAAAGACAAAGGTAAATAACAAAGAATTGAATTGAGCAGTAAATGTTTATATCCACATTATAATCAAGTTTCCCTTTAATCCCTCTTGTTTCTCCATAATAGCAAAAGATGGACATATTAAGTTCAGAATAATAATAGTGGTGGTAATGTTTAGGGTTCTATAGTATCTGACAAATTTCTTTTCTTTCTTTCTTTTTTTTTTTGTGAGGCAATTGGTAAATAATTTACCCAGAGTCACACAGCTAGTGAGAATCTGAGGCCAGATTTGAACTCAGGCCCTCCTGACTCCAGGGTACGTGCTCTATCCACTGCACCACCTAGCTGCCCCAATTTCCATTCTTCTTGGGGGAAGAAGGGTGGAAGAATGCTGGCACCTGCACTTCCCTCTCACTTCAGCTCTGAGCAACCATGGCCAGGTGGTGCTAGGTGGTAGCTACCATGTGATTACTGCCCTGTGTGCTACCAATAACTTTTCAATGTAAAAAGGTCTTGTCTTAGGCAGCGGCAAACAAACACCTACCCAGTATATAGCTGTCCATCTGCCAAAATTTGATTATCACTAATATTATGAGATGAAAACAAGGGCAAATCTGGAAGTTCATTCTTTCTGGTCAGAATGTGCCCTGAAACAAGACTTGCCCGGGATAATTCAGATTTGGCACTGGGTTTAAGCGGAAGGGCATTAATATGTGTATATGCTATAATATGTGTACATACTACATGTCAAATTGTGCAATCAATATAACAGCCCTGTTTTGCTATATACCAAAGCACCTTTGTATTGTTATCTGAATTAGCTTATTGTGATCTTTCCTGCTTAGATTTGAGGTCATTCCCAGGTATAACCAGGTTTGCCCAACATTGGGAGTGGATAACGTTAGTCAAAATGACACTAAATTCTTCCTCATTTATTACTTCATATTTAAAGCCACATAATCCTCAGAGTGATTATAACATTCTTACTCCTCCATACCCTTTATAAATCAAGTTATTCTTGGGTTATAATAGACACTATTAGTCACAACCTATATTGTTGTTGCAAATGAAAACCAGAGAAGAATAACGCAAAACTGAATAGGTGACTCTGAGAACATCGTTTCCATTTTTTTTTCCTATTATCAGGTATGTTTACTCTGAAAAATAAAATTTTAAAATATCTCATATGATAAACAAGCAACACCCTTGTATGCTCAGAATAATTTCTCCTAGGTGACTAATAAAGAATACAAATTTTATCTAATTCCCTATATGCCTAGAGGGTCAAACAAAAAGTATGTGGACTACTTGCAAGAGAGGTACATAATAAAACCTTTCAAAGGGCTTGATTCAAAGCTGATCTGCAATTCAGTCTTTGGGAGTAGCC